CGCGGTTGCGACTACCCTGCTGAGAAGGAGCTAGTTGTGTAGGACGATACCGAAGGTAACAGAGAGAGAGCGGGTGGTTGGAGCTTGGGGTAGATGGTTAGGAGGAAGGCGCGAGGTGAAGTTGAAATTTAGTGAGCTTTCGGAGCAAGGGTGAGGCCGGTTGGAGGGAGAGTGCGACATGACGGATGCGTTCCAACAAGCCTCAAGGCTTGGCGCATCGTAGGGCTGATGCGGCTCTGCGGCTGTCCGCGCATCTCACTAGTGGGCCCAATGTGCGGAAGCCGAAGACGTCAAACGATCAGCACGAAATCCTGATCGTAACTCGATCGGAACGTCATAAGCCTGGCTTTAAGAACACGTGAGAAGCAAGACTCCTGAATTCGACACCTTACTTTCGTCTGTCAACCTTGGGCAAACGTTGGCCAGGCCTCAGTTCACGATACGTATACATCCCGATGTCTGGTGATGTGGACGTCCTTCGTACAAGAGGAGCGCGTAAAGCTTGCCGCTGTATCTCGGGTGCTATCACTTTATACAGAGTTACGACTGAGCTGGATTTGCGATCATGTCAAGGGTACATCAACTAGGCGGGTTCCATGTGAAAAGCAGCAATGAGACATCCAGCAGCTCAGCGCTTTATTGCATCGATCACCTAAGATATCCCCGAGCTGCCACCTACGATTAGGTTGCCCGGCTTGAGGTTATGTACGTGACATTGGCTGCTCCTCTCCTTTCTCCAGACCTGCTCGAGGTGCTGCTCTACGATACGCTTACGGACTTGCTCCAAGCGGCCCGTATCACCCTCCTCTACCGCAGCAACGATGTCAGCATGGCGCTCCGTGAGACCTTGGGTGATCGTGTGGTGATCCATTGACTCCTTCATCAGCTGAGCCCGATGGATGGCTTCGCTCAACTCCAGCTCAAGCGCCGTCGAGCCTCGACCGTCAGTTCCTTCAAGAACGACTTCTACCACGTTGAAGTCGTATAGTCCTTGGTCGCAAAACTCTCTGTAGGTGTTAGAGCCTGGCCGATGGCCCATGAACCTTCGTGCCTTGGCCAGGTGTGCCGCGCGTTCGACGTTGGTGCCCGATTTGCGCCTCCATGCATACACAGTCGTCTCTCTTAAACGGCCCTTCCACGCCGCTCGTGTTTCTGGGTCCTCACCAGGCGAGTTCGTGGAAGCCGGCTTGTCAGGTAGATGAGTGCCCTTTGGGCCTGTGTCTAAGAAGATGGGCAGTTTTGTTGCCTCTTTATTAAGGACAATGCGGTTCATTTCCGCAAAGCACCGACTTGAAGGAACTCATGATGCTCTAGTAAGCTGCGACGGAGAAGGATGATGAGAAGGCGGCGGGGTATTGAAAGAGGTATGCGGGTAACCGTCGTCAGCGACCGGATGGTCGTCGTCAACCTCTTAGTCATTGATGCCGGGTTATCTCGATTGCTCTTCAGCCAGCGGAAGACGTAGCGGTGTTCACCACCCTTCCGCTAGGCGAGCGCAGCTCGTGTTCCTCACGCTATAGGCCTCCGTTAACCTCGCGTAGGGCCCTCACGGTCATTGCCCCGGCGATGAGATGGTTTCACCGGCCTTCTGTAGAGTATTCACAGCCCAGATTCCTCGCGCTGTAGGCCGCCCGTTCTCGTTTGCGTCTGTTAGACACGCGCGCTGGCGCCGCTAAACGCTCTCCAACGCCCTAGTGGAGACAGTCTCTAGCTGGTGATCCTGCGTCACATAGGGCTCCCGCGCCCTAGCGGAGGTCCTTTCCAGCCGATAGTTCTGCATCGCATAGCGTCCCCCGCCACTCCCGGTAACACACCAAGCCGAACAGCCATGCCAGGTGATGTTGTTCAGTGACATCTCTGTTTGGCGCTTAGTCCATATCGGCGTCAGGACGGTCGAGTAGCTCAGCGCGGCCGAAATAGACTTTGTTGTATGGAGTAGTGTTTAAGGCACCATGCTCGTTCGCCATTAATCGGATGCATTGTTCCGTTGACGTGTTGTAGTCGATCCGGCGGGATAGGGCGTTGGCCTCCTTCTGGGTTGCCAAACAGAACCGCAAGTGACGGTTTCGCGGGGTTGTCGTTTCTACCCGGATCTGGTTGTCTGTTGATCTTCCCGGCCTGATCAGTAAGCTAACCTGAATGAAGTATCTGCAGGCAAATTCCAGTTGCTTGGACGTGTCCCTGGGAATCAGTAGTTCGTCGTTGACGTCTTCCAGCGCGTCTTGGTCGAGGACAAGCGCGTCACCTTGCCCAATGCTCGCAAGATACAGCGCCGACCACTTTCGGTACTCGAGTAGGACCTTGTCCTGCTACGATTGGGTGGAGAGCGGAGGTCCACCGGCATCCTTTGCTGGAACTCCATATCTGCTCAATTCGGTCATGGTCTCCGATGTTGATGCTGTTGCCCTGCGCCGACCAGTTCTCGATCCGTTGGGTTGAGCTCTGCGTCTTCGCGGGAACTTTGAGGGCTGCGAGCGCACGCGAAGCCGGGGGCGCCATCTCGAAAGCGACGCGGTGCGGCAGCGAAAAGGCCTCAGCAGACTGGCAGTGATTACAAGGCACGACAAAAGTTCAGCCAGTGTAGCGTCGAAAGGTTCGTGATGCTAAGTCTTAAATTAGGGAGGAGCGACGTGTCAAATACTGACTCTTTTGAGGTTGTGTGAGGAAGCATGAGAGTGCAGCCGCAAGAGACTTCCCACGACTGGCGCTTGAGACAACTTTCAGCGGTTATGCCACCGCCAGGTTTGTCTACACCTCGTCATGGATGCTGTGGCGAAGGTGTAGCATTTGCTGTAACCTACAAGCTGGCTTCGGCCTGTGATGAATCATTTGACAGGGCGTCGCAGGTTCGAGCATTCGTGCTTCACTTCCAGCCGACAAGATCTTCAGAATAACAGATGATCACATGATCGCCATCACGTTCTCTCCAGCCCTGCACCGCGAAGGGTGAAACTATTGAACACGTCTATGTCGTTTTTCTCGCCAACCATCAAAGTCACGGAGTTTTTCAAAACTCAGAATAGCAGCCGAATATCTCAATCTACCTTCTACCGGCAAGAACTCGGAATCCGCCACTCAGCTGACAACCCTAGCCGGGAGATAGATACCAATAGGAATCCGAGCCCCCATCCCCTGAGGATGACATCATGGCCACGTCTCCATGGCCGAAGGTTCGACTAGAGCTCCTTGCCATTGAAGCCCGATTCGCCGCAGCTAGGCAAGACACTATCATGGCGATGCTTGTTGACGTTCGGAAGGGGTGAGAAACGAACACGTGGAGCTGCTCTGCTCCTTACTTGCGTGACAGTGACTCCCCGGTGATACTGATGTCTGCTAACGCGCGTCTGAGATGGAGCACGCGTTCCCGGCCAACGCGTCCAAAGCGCCAGAGAGACGCGGAGACGACGATGCTCATCGGGCACGCGTGCCGAAGAAGTCGCGGCGCTCCGTCCTGGGCACTGGGATACGCCCCGGAAACACTGTCCGATCAGAAGCCGGTCACGATCCGATGAGGCAAGCCTGAGGGGAAAAACATGCTCTGCCATGACAAAGGCAAAGGGGAGACGCGTCTGAAGTTGGTGGCCACATGGCGGACATACATCGCAAGCCGTTAAACCGAAGATAAGCGGAGGACTTATGGACAATTTCTCACAGCCCACAAAGTGACCCGTCTCTCATACACAAATTTTCTGTTAACACCACCACCGCCAGATACATCCCGTATCTGCCGGTGGTAGTGACGGCTTAAATTCTCGAGTTTTTCTTGCACGTTCTCGGCCGGGACGCCGTGTCCATCCGGTTCTCTATAGGCTGAGAAACCGGCAGTCCAGGCGCCCGGAGAATTGACGAAGGAGAAAGTCGAAGCGGGAACACCAGCTGAAGCGCTGGACCAGCAAGAACGACAAGGAAGGAATAGCAGCCGGAGAGGGAGCCGATCTCAGCGACGACGAAAAGACAGAAGAACGTGCCAATGGAGGCACTGAGAAGCCAGAAGACGACTACAATGGGGGCTCAGATGGAGGAGAGGACTATGAGAAGTAAACCGAGGTGACAGAGGGCGCCGCCACGCCCCAACTGTTAAGAGATACTTGCGGTGAAAAATGAGAACGCTTCTACACCTCTGGCCGAGCTAGAGGCCCTTTGCTAATCAAGCATTCGCGACTCATATCACTGTTTTACCAGGGTTTTGCCTAGTAAGCGAGCCAAGAAAGTGATAAGATCCACGAATACTTGGTTATTTCACACCATCTGTAGACGATTGCTGGATACTAAGGCTTATATATTGCCTGTACTTAGAGAAGCGCGCTATCAGGCAAACTCACGGTAGAGCGAGGATCCAATTAATTGAGCGAGGTGGTCGGAGACATGAGAGTAAATGAGAAGTTCATCCTGTTACCACCGCGTTCGTTCCAAAGCTCCCCAGACATTGTGAGTGAACTGCTTCGTATTGCTTCGTACTACTTTATGCATAATTACACCCCGTGACGCAAACTCTGCTGCTGAAACCGAAGCGCGGTGAGAAGCTATCTGGGCATCATTATGCTCCGTGTAGGGGCTTAGTAGGAAGCGAAAGATCGTCTCAAATCGCGGGCAGCGAGACCGACGGGTTTGGCAGAGCTTCCCATTGAGTATACCGGGGATGCGCGCTTGGGGGGAGTAGTGAATATCTGCGGCGAAAATACACGGGTCGTTATGTTGCCTTGTGTACAGTAGAAGGACCAGGCGACTTCAACGAGAGCGCGAGACCTCGAAATGGGAGCCGCAGATAATGCTGGCCATGTGCGGGCGAAAGACAGGTGGTCGCGGTCTCAGTGAAGTTGGTGTTCCTGTTCGCGCACCCGGCACGCCAAGAAGCGGTCGGCCCGAGCTTTGACCGGCCCGGTGTGACAGAATCCACGAATGTGTGGTTCCGGTGTGCCAAAATCAAAACTGCAGGCTTCAGAACAAACATAAATCAAAAGCCTCAGACCTGATGTCATTCAGAATGCAAAAAGAACGTTTAGTCCGTCAGGGGATCGAACCCAGGACCTTTCGCGCATTGAACTGTGTTCATTCTGTGAAGCGAACGTCATACCACTAGACCAACGGACTTTGATAGCAGCGAAAATGGGCTGAGCGAAATATATAAGAAAAATTTATCATGGGTTGATGACAAGATCCATTACGCTCTCAGCTCGGGGGGTCTGATTGATGACACAAGTCAATTTCGGGAAGTCCAAGAGGCTCAACTAATTTAGTCCAAAGCGGGCGTTGTTCCGCCGGGAGAACGATTATGTAATGTCTCTACCTTCTGAGTCGGATTTATGCACTCACGTAGGAATCTAGAGCCCAAGGCACGTTGAATAAAGGATTAGCAAAGGACAAGAGGAGTTTAGTTTACTGTTTATGGAACTAGGTCTAACTGTATTGCTAATGTTTTAATTGAAGTTTACTATTCAGCTCCCTCGTGCCTCTGCCACATCCAGGCCGCATATGAGGGACCACCGCAAGCCTGTTCCTGAAAGTCTTCCAAACTTTAGTTGACTTGTATGATAGACTGTTCAAACATACGTAAGGTATCCCAAATCGTGGACGGAGTGCGCCAGATAGTCGGGGGCCGTCAGGCCCGCTAATGTCGGAGCCGATGAACCGGAGCGCCAGCGCCATTGCGAACCTAAAACGCAGGATGCTGCGATGGATGCAGTTCGCCGGAGACAGTGAGGTCGGCGAAACCAAGAGCTTCGATGAAGTGGCAGCAGCCCACTACGGGCACCGTGATGTTCCGAGGCCATTTACGGGACTGGCGGGCTGGGAGGCAGGAATAAGCACTCGTACAATCGGGCTCTCATGAACGTGCCATACCAGGCTCCCCATGGATCCAAGAAACCTCGCCTTGTGTTACTGGGATGTCCGAGTGTTCTCTAGGCGTAAACCCCAGAAGGACAAGCGCCACTTTGTTTTAGAGCCTCAGTGTGAAGCTTCTCTAGTGATTCCTGAAGTTCTTTTTCTGGTAGAACAGATCCGTCCGTGAGCTTCCCAGGTTAATGATCTTCGGACAGCCGTCTCGGTCTTTCTCCAGCCGCGTACATTCGAAGCAGTAGAAGGCGTCTGAAATGCCCTATGACACATATGTATTAGCAGCGCACATACAGCTAGAGTATATTAGGGGAATATGCTCACCTCGCCACCGCATACCACACACTTATTCTGGTAGTTGCCGAAAGAACATTCATCGCAGATCCGGACGAGGGTTGTGGGACGCACGTAGCTGTCGCAGACTGGGCACTTTCCGTCGCACTTGTCGCAGAGGCGTCCGATGGCGATTCCGGGCTGCTTCCGGCACATTACGAGATCGCTGGAGTTGGTGTTAGCTGCTGCTGTAGGCTGGAGTGGGAGTTACTTACGGATGATGGCGAGACATGGTTGCTGATCGTTATGTCTCCAAGGCGTTTCCAGAAGCGCAAAGGTGCGCGAAGGACGAGAAACTGATGAGAAGAGTATGCGCTTCTTTAAGGCCGAGCGGTGGATTCGAGTGCTCTGTGGCGGTTGCTTGCCTCTACGGTCTGGATGGCTGTATGGCTGTTCCGCAGTTTGTTGAATGGAGATAGTTTGACTGGAGGACTGTGTAAGGTCAATATAGGTTTAATGTGGCGCTGACAATTGCAAGCACGCATTGCTGAAGCTCCGCTGACTGAACATTTCCATGCGACTCGGAGCTTTTCCGCCGCGCTTCCGATGACGCCAAAAGTCGCGACCCGCGACCTGCGACAATGTCTCAAAGCTTAAGCCTAATCTGATATCTTGATCAATTGCACTATGTCGGAGGAACAACCGTAAGTCTGGGGAGGTGAGTTTCTACTCAAGCAAACGCGCTGACAACTTGTAGCACTGTGGCCTCCGCTGTGGTTGTCCCCGAGCCTCCACAACCTGCATCACCGCAAGCCTCGAACAAACGACGACAATCATCAGTGTCCGAGTCAGGAAACAAGCGTCCGCGATTAAGCAGAGACAGAGACCATGAAGAGATCCGGGACACGGCACCTCCACCCGTCGAAGATGATGACCGGGCATCTCGACGGAAGAGCGGGCAAGCAGAGGAGCGCAAGCGGGGACAAAGACTGTTCGGAGCTCTACTCGGCACACTGTCACAGAGCTCATCTACAGCAGCGCAGAAACGACGAGCCGACATCGAGAAGAAGCAGCAGGCTAAGCTGAAGTTGCAGGCTGAGGAGTTTGATCAGAAGCAGAAGGAGCGGTTAGATGAGCTCATGAGGGTTCGGAGGCTGGAGCAAAAGAAGTTTGATGAGCAGTCGGTGGGTTCTATGATTCTCGTGGAGCACCAGTGCATGGTCTAACTTCTTCCAGATGCGGATACGGCACTCCAACCTTCTCCATATGGCGCAGTTTCTACAGACGACCGCAGAGCCCAAGATTGTACGCTATCTTACTGTCAATCAATCGCTGTGGCACACGATCGAAGCTAACTTCTGCGCAGTACTACAAGCCCTGGGAGCTACGACCAGAAGACGACGCCCGGATCAAGTCACAAATCGAAGAAGCCCAAGCAACAGTAGACAGGGAGCTGGACGATTTCGAAGAGGAGCGTGATAAGGAAAGAAAAGTTAACGGAGGTGCCAGTGACGATGCCATGCGGGTTGATGAGGAGCAGGAAGAGCCAGCAGTGCAGGACAAGCCCGTAACTGCAGAACCTCCGGGTGATAATCACGAGCCTTCCAACGAAACCTCCAATGAGACCACGAATGGGCTCTCCCACGAGCTTGCCACCGAGACAAATGGAGGCTCTACGGCCAGCAAATCTTCGACGATCGCGGAAGCAACCGAAACGGTCGCAAACAGAAAGACACCAGAGCGTGAGAATAGTAAAGACACTATGGATGACACGAATGGAGATGTCGTGCTTGAAGCAGAGGAGGATACGGTCATCTACTAAGCTTGTTTCCGCGCGATGAAGCCCAAGTGACAGCAAGTTCATGCGACTCGCGCGTCACTTCAGTTCGAGGCTTTATCATAGCACCGGGGAAGTCGTTTCATTGCCTCTTGTGAGATACCAACCTCGAAAGGGGCGCAACATGGAGGCCGCCTTAGAGCGTCAAGAAGGGGGTTGAGGATGAAGGACATAGTATATTGATACGCGTGAGTTATCCTTCGTGTATTCATTAGCCTAAGCGTTTGATAGAACAATATTGATAGCGTGAAGCAAACATTGCGACTCCTGCAAGCGCGCGAGCGGTGAGCAGCGATATTCAGCGTCAGGACCCGTCCTCGCTTCATCCCTACAATCTATTGGAGACGCACGATCATATCATTTGCCGCCTAACTAACAAAAGGGACTATCAGGGTCGGTGATGAGCACTCGTTTCCACCCATTCGAGCGTGACAAGGGGCGCCTTATTTTGCAGGCCCACTAGGCCCGTCACCAGCAGCACTGCAGTCGAGGCAGCGTCCGGAAGAGGACAAGATGTTGCTAACCGCAGCCCACAGCTTCTTCGCTCAGTCCACTACTGTGACTCACTCCTGGTTATGTACTAGGATGTACGGCCGGTGCTTGTTGTAGGACTCCTGCAGGATTCCCGTATTTTCAATCCAGTGTCCGATAACTCCGAAACCCGACATCAAGCCCATCATAAGAACCTGAGTATCGTGAAAATTCCAGAAATTATTTTGTGTTGCTGTCAATCTGACTTCTCCACGCCTCACTTGTTCTGTCTTGGTGGTTCACAGCCCCTGTCAAGCCAAGCCCGTCTCCCTCCATCAAGCTAGCCCCACTATCGCGAGCCTCGGTCCAAGACGCGATCACTCTATATCGCAGCGAAGGGCTACAACAACCAAGCTACAATGCGAGAAGGATACATACATCCTCGAGACAGCGAACAACATGGCGGTTGAACCAATTGACCCGTTCTCGGACTCTCGTGTCACTCATGAAACAGCAAAAGTGAATGGCTATACCTACCGTGGGTTCCTGCGACCGCGATGCTCAGCATGATGTATCGGTATCTGACAATAATCACAGACTACATCCTAGGCGTTCCACAGAATGGCCAATACAAAGCGACCATCTTTCTCGTCAGCGCACTCCTTTCCTCCGCTGTGAGCTTTCATTGATCCGAGTCCACAGATCCATGGCTGGCCCGATCTTTCAATAGGATGGCGTTACCAGATCCCCTTTCTCATCTCACTTGGCCTCCGAGTCGTTGCTCCAGATCTGATGGGCTTTGGCGGCACCGTAAGTCTATCCGTCCATCCTAACAATGCCCGGTCACATGACTATACTCACCTCACCCCATAGGACGCTCCCAAAGTCCCGCCCAACTCCATCCATCTCTATGGCTACAAACGAGCCGCAGACGACATCGCCGAACTCGCCAAGCAACTAGGCTGCAAGCAGATCATCCTGGGCGGCCACGACTGGGGCGGCATGGTCGTCTGGCGCACCGCACTGTGGCACCCTGAGCTCATCTCGCATGTCTTTTCGATCTGCACGCCGTACATGGCGCCGCAGAAAGACTACATTTCGACGGAGCAGCTGGTCAAGGGGCCGCTGCCGCAGTTTGCGTATCAGCTGCAGCTTGCGGGGCCGGATGTTGAGGCGGCGCTTCAGAGTGAAGAAGACATCAGGATGTTCTTCAATGCAATGTCTGGTGGGAGGGGACCGAATGGGGAGGTGGGGTTTAGCCCGGAGAGAGGAGTGCATTTGGATGACTTGAAGAAGTTAAAGAGGGGCCCGCTGTTGGATGAGAAGGTAAGCTCGTTTGTTATTTGATGTTGGGGGAGTAACGAAGTCGGTTCTACATGGTCCAAACTGTGACGATTGAGCTCTGCGCGCATAGACAGCGTGAGAAGAATAGCGCACTGACGTCCTATACCAGGTATACGAATACTACGTCCAGCAGTATTCCCGAAACGGCTTGCACGGTACCCTAAACTGGTACCGCACAAGGGAAGCGAACTACAAGGACGACCTCGAGTAAGCCACATATTATCTTACCTCAACCTCCAGTCCACCTCAGCTGATAGAAGAACCAGCCTTCCAACAGACAAGATCGAGATGCCAGCTCTCTTCATCCAGGCGAACTATGACAGCGTTCTCA